AGTTTTCAAATGGAGACAACAAAACCCAGAAGTTCAAACAGTGTTTGCTGTCTGATACTTATTAGAGCTAGGACTAGAACCCAGGTGTCCTGCTGGGAGGCCTAGTTTTCTTTATATTCAATTGTGTTGATAGGTTGCAGGAAAATGATCAAGGGGTCAACAGTATCAATCAACAATTTTCATTGAAAATGCTCACTATCCAGCGTATGTGAAGGGTTAAATGCTCAATACAAGTGTGCTAACTCCTCCTCTATCTAAAATAGCAGCCATCATTAACCCTTCAGCTTTTACTTTTCTTCACAGCACTTGCCAGCACTAGATTCATTATTTGTCTGTTTGTCCATTGTCTGGTTCCCCCATAAAATGTAAAGCCAGGAGGCAGCACTAGGACCGTTCACAGCGGCAGCCCCAGGACCCAAAATAACACCTTTCACTTTGCAGGCCCTTAACAAATATTTCTTGAATGGCTGCCAAGCATATAGTTAGTGGCCTCATGGTCTAGAAGAAAAAGCTACAGAAGTTTGAGACTAGACTGAGCAACATAGTGAAACCCTGTACCTACTAAAAATAGAAACAAAATTAGCTGGGCGTGATGGCATGGGCCTGTAGTCCTAGCTGCTCAGGAGGCTGATGAGGGTGGGAGGATCATCTGAGCCCAGGAGGTGGAGGCTGCAGTGAGCCAGGATCCTAATACCACTGTACTCCAGCCTGGGTGTCACAGCAAGACCCTGTCTCAAAAAGAAAAAAACACCCTATATTATCCTGCTCTTTTAAAAGATTGAAAAGGTAGAGTAAATGAGGATGGATAGGAATCCATCTCTATGAGAAAGTATAACCATTCTTGGCTGGGCGCTGTGGCTCATGCCTATAACCCTAACACCTTGGGAGGCCGAGGCAGGCGGATCACCTGAGGTCGGGAGTATAGACCAGCTTGACCAACATGGAGAAACCCTGTCTCTGCTAAAAATACAAAATTAGCCGGGCATGGTGGTGCATGCCTGTAATCCCAGCTACTCGGGAGGCTGAGGCAAGAGAATGGCTCGAACCCGGAAGCTGCAGTAAGCTGAGATCACGCCATTGCACTCCCGCCTGGGCAACAAAAGCAAAACTCCCTCTCAAAAAGAAAAAAACCCTGAAAGTATAACCATTCTTAATATTCTGTGCTTTGAACAATAAAAAAACCATAAACTCAGCCAGGTTGGTAGCTCACACCTGTAATCCCAGCACTTTGGGAGGTGAAGGCAGGTGGATCACAAGGTCAGGAGTTCAAGACCAGCCTGGCCAAGATAGGGAAACCCTGTCTCTATTAAAAATACTAGCCGGGCGTGGTGGCAGCTGCCTATAATCCTATCATTAGTGGACATCATTATCCCTTTACCTTTTACTTTTGACATTAAAGCAGGATTCTTGTAAAATAGGCAAAATATGACCATCAAGGAGTGGTGGGAACAGTGGGGCTGGCAAAGGCAGCAGAAGCTGCTTAGCTCCAGCCATTCTTGCCATTGGTTAATGTGGGGCCCAGAATGGCTTAGATCTGATCTTTTCCAGGGGAAGCCATAATGCCAGATTTTTATGTGGAATTTTCTGGCTTTAGAATATGGTCAGTTACTTTACATATATATATATATGTATATGTATATTTTTTATTTTTATTTTTAGAGATGGAATCTGGCGCTGTCACCCAGGCTGGAGTGCAGCAGCCCAATCTTGACTCACTGCAACCTCTGCCTCCCAGGTTCAAGTGATTCACTTTACTCAGCCTCCTGAGTAGCTGAAATTACAGGTGCCTGCCACCACTCCCAGCTAATTTTTATATTTTTGGTAGAGACGGGGATTTCGCCATGTTGGCCAAGCTGGTCTTGAGCTCCCCACCTCAGGTGATCCACATGCTTCGGCCTCCCAAAGTGCTGGGATTACAGGTTTGAGCCACCATGCCCAGCCTATTTAAAATCTTTGGGCAGGAGTAGTAATACACACAGAGATACACTCTGGGAAGATGAAATGTGCCAGTACGATGTTCTAGAGCTGAGCTGTCCAGTGTGGTAGCCACTGGCTACATGTGGCTATTTAAACTTAAAATAAAATGAAAAATTCAGTTCCTCAGTGATACTAGCTAGATTTCAAGTGCTCAACAGCCACATATGGCTAGTGGTTACCTTACTGGATGGTGCAGGTTACCTTCCATCATCACAAAAAGTTCTACTGGACAGTGCTGGAGATAGGAGAGACTGAGGCAAAGCAGCCAGTTCAGAGCATCAATATTATAATAGTCTAGGAGAGATTATCAAGTCATAAACTCCTATGGCCACAGTGAGGATGGCTAGGAGGGGCAGGTGGAAAGTTGTCTTTAAGGTACTCCACCAAATGTCTGGCTAACAGCAGCAAGGGAAAACACATGGTTTCCTTATTATTATTATTATCTTTAGTAATCTTCTTTGGAATTTCTCCAGCTCCATTATGTCTTTCCTGATTTCATAGAAATCCTAGTGGCGGCCGGGCGCAGTTGCTCAAGCCTGTAATCCCAGCACTTTGGAAGGCTGAGGCAGGAGGATCATGAGCTCAAGAGATTGAGACCATCCTGGCCAACATGGTGAAACCCCATCTCTACTAAAAATACAAAAAAAATTAGCTGGGTGTGGTGGCATGCGCCTGTAGTCCCAGCTACCAGGGAGGCTGAGGCAGGAGAATTGCTTGAACCCGGGAGGTAGAGGTTGCAGTGAGCCAAGATCGTGCCACTGCACTCCAGCCTGGTGCCTGGTGACAAAGTGAAACTCTGTCTAAAAAAAAAAAGAAACCCTAGCGGCTCATTTTCATGTACTAGCAGGACCCTTTCCAACAAGATGCAATGACCAGAAACTCCTACTGTTGAGTAGGCTCCACTTAGCAAGACCTACTGAATCAGAAACTCTGGGGGCCCAGCAGTCTGGACAGCTGCTTAAAACAGACTGATGGGCCCCCAGAGTTTCTGATTCAGTAGGTCTTGCTAGGTAGAAAAAAAGAAAAGAAGCTATCCAGGTGATTCTGATAAAAATTAAAGTATGAATACCACTATAAACATAGTGGATTATCTTTAGTCAGCCTTTCAGTGCTAAGTTTGGGGGCATCGTTAAAATACAAGCACTTTTGGCCTAGCTCTTTCACCTGCCATACTACCCTTATCGATCCATCCATCCATCTATCCATTCATCCATTCATCCATCCATCCATTTATTAATTTACATTATCTGTGTTCAGAGTGTTTTAAAAGTAAAAAATAGGCCAGGCATAGCTCACTGGCTCATGCCTGTAATCTTAGGAAGCCTGAGGTGGTTGAATCACCCAAGGTCAGGAGTTCGAAACCAGCCTGGCTAACATGGCAAAAATCCCCTCTCTACTAAAAATACAAAAATTGGCCGGGCGCGGTGGCTCAAGCCTGTAATCCCAGCACTTTGGGAGGCCGAGGCAGGTGGATCACGAGGTCAAGAGATAGAGACCATCCTGGTCAACATGGTGAAACCCCGTCTCTACTAAAAATATAAAAAATTAGCTGGGCATGGTGGCGCGTGCCTGTAATCCTAGCTACTCAGGAGGCTGAGGCAGGAGAATTGCCCGAACCCAGGAGGCGGAGGTTGCGG